TTTCTTTTCTGTTCCATCGCCATTATTTTTTGTGCACTGTAAAATATATGGACGTCTAGTTATTCGAAGAGATAAGAAAAAGAAGATGAAAGAAAGAAGAATATAGAAAAACCGTCGAAAAATGGATTCAAAGAATGCAATTGTGTATAGATAACCAAGGTGATTATTTTGAACATTTCATAAAATAAACAATTGTTGAACCTGTTTCGCTATTTCTTTTCTGTTCCATCGCCATTATTTTTTGTGCACTGTAAAATATATGGACGTCTAGTTATTCGAAGAGATAAGAAAAAGAAGATGAAAGAAAGAAGAAGAGAAAAATAAAGAAAAACGAAAAGAAAGCACGCATGGATGATAATATGCACTATTGGTACCAGCTGGAGTTGCACAAAAAACAGTTTTTATGATAATTTTATTATTATGATACCGATTGAACAGTGATCAAATAGAATAGAAAGATAGAGCAAAAGACGCTCTATGTGTTCATAAAAAAAAGAAACTTTTTCCAAGCAGTCTATACGAAATTAAGATGCGAAGGCCACTATTTTTGGTATGATCTAAGTATATTAGATGGAATAGCATCAACATAATTACTTAAAACAATGCTTGTTATTTAACCATCATTATTAAATAGTGTAATATTTGTTAGTATGATTCAGATATTATTTATTTTTTCGATAATAAAAACAATTCGAATAACATATAAATCAGCTGTATTATCAACAAATGATAATATGTCAAGGAATATATCATTAGTACAACAAACAAATCCTATTCAACTTATATCACACACATCAAAAGAATTATATGAAATTGTTTCCTTAATTGGAGAAATGATGCCACGTTTGTCAAATGATGAACCATTATTTCAAATTGATCAATTCTTTCGTTGTAATTTATAAGAGAATATTTTATGGCCTTCCCCTAAAAAATCGATCTCAGCCCAGGTACGTTCAAATGGTATGAAATTTTTAGGATATGTTGGGACTATAGTTATGAAGCTATGGTAAAATTTTCAGTTCGATATCATGAAGTTTGAGGGAGATATTGACCAAACAAGGATCAAAAATTGCTCATTTGGCAAATCAGATTTCTTCGTCCACGTGCATTCTATATCTTTAATTTTTGTTTGTTTGAAAGAGCATGTCAGGATGCAGTGGGTGTGGGGTGGGTTTGGGTGTGGATGTCAGTCTTCTCAATGACCCACACCCACACCCTTCTCGAGATAATGAATATATAAGAAAATTCGGTATTTCTCACATCTCTGTGAAAAATAGATATTTCTTGTATATTCATTATTTCGAGAAGGGACCATCCGTTTGCGCTGAAACTTTTAAGATATTCTAAAGATCTTGAGACCTATAGATGGACAGAATCTCACATCGAAATTTCGTAATCCAATTGTTTTCGGTAAATATCTGGCACTGGGCAAAATCCAGTAAAACAGTTATAACTCTGGAACGAAAGCATATGGGCCCTTATTATTTTGGGTTCCTTCTAGTCTCACCTACTCCTACTTATGGGCAAAATATCAGATTAAAAGCTTTGAATCACTTCGAACGGATCCCTCGTGAGTAATGATGTATTTCGTTCCTACCTGATGAGCATGGTAAATGGCAACGACAAAAGAAATCATGAACAAGTAGCTGCTACGTAACACACGGAGACCCTTATTTGTATATCTTATATAAATTAATTATAGGTCTTAAATTGATTATCATTTTCTCTTCTAAAATAAAAATCAGAGCAACGGCGAGAGGCAATATCACACAAATAGTGTTTATACGATACAACTATTCTCCCTCCCTCGGCAAAAAGAGAAAATATTGATAGGCTCTCTAGTGATGTGTTTCGTTCTCACCTGATGAGTATAGTAAAGGTGCAACGAAAAAAATGATGGCAAGTAGTTGCTACGCAATACAGAGGAACCTTCCTTTTTATATCTTATATAAATTACTTATAGGCCTAAAAATAACTAATATTTTCTGTTCTAAGGTAAAATGAGAGCAAGGACAAGAGACAATATCACACACATAATGTTTACGTGATATAGTTATTCTCTCACCCTCGACAGAAAGAGAAAAGAGGATAGCCAGTCTAATGAGTTTTTATTCGTTCCTGCTTGATGAGTAGTACGGAGTGCAAAACAAAATGGCACCTTGAGATTAAAATGTAGCTAAATATTTATTTATAATAATTATAAAAGAACTAAATTATATACCAACAGTAACAATAGTGGATATAAGTAAAGTAGTTGTAGATAAGTTGTTGAAAATTTTATTATTCACGGGATTTTTCGATCTTTCTTTCGATCATTTTCTACCTTTAACAGGTTCTACGGTCTTTGAGAATGCAATGCATGCAAATACACACAACATCATGATCAATGAATTACTATTGCTAGTAGTTCTTACATATCCAAATACATTACTCATGTCTTCATTTCTACAGTCAAATTTCAAAAGTAAATCAAAAGATATTACTACATGAGAGAGTGTGGGTGTGGGTAGGTAGATCTTCTCTTAATGCATACCCACAAACCCACACACCCACACCCACACCCACACCCACATCCATACCCTCAAGATCTTGCTAGTGATCAATAATACAATTTTCACCAACAATCAATAATAAATATCTAAATAATAATCAATAAGAAAATTTTTACCAATAATCAATAAGATCTTGATGGTAATCGATAATAAAGATTTTAACAATCAATAAGAAAGATCTTGATAATAATCGATAATACAATTTTCACCAACAACCAATAATAAATATCTGAACAATAATCAATAAGAAAGATTTAAATAATAATCAATGAGAAAATTTTTACCAACAATCATTAAAGGAATTTCAATAATCTATAAGATCTTGATAGTAATCGATAATAAAGATTTTAATGATCAATAATAAATATCTAAACAATAGTCAAAGAGAAAGATTTTAACAACAATCAGTAATAATAAAGAAGACAAATGAGAACATAAAGAGCGAATAGATAAAGAAGATGAACCATGCGATTCAAGCTGAACATTAGTCATCATTTGGATCAATCACAATGAAGATAGAACATTATTCTATACTTCAGCTGATTGCTAGCACCATCTTCAATTTGTTAAAAAAAAATTATATCGAAAAGAAAATTATATATATAAAGGATATAGACAGGCCAGGCGGCCTGGTGTGTTTAGCAGCCTGCCTGGCCTGGATGAGGGTGTGGCCTGGCCTGCCTGTGCCTGTGACAGGCAGGCAGGTCTAGGCAGGCAGGCAGGCCTAGTGGCCTGATTGGACCTCTGCTAGCGAACATATCTTGCTTTTTCGATTCAATAAGAAATTCGACTTATCTCTCATGTTATTTTAACAAGCATTAGAATTTTTTGGCATTATTAAATTCATGATCGTCATAATGATAAACTTTTTA